AATGTCTTGTGTGTCACATCAACACAAGTCACTGGCGGAGGAGGGATATTTGTGGCCCAAAAATTAGCTTGTATTAGTCAGGTTGGAGCTAAGTCGATGTAACACATGTTCTGATTGGATAGAAAGAAGGGAGATAATTCATGTTGCGATTTTTGGCCAATAGGGGATCTTACGAGAACTGGAAATATGACCATATTAGAACAGAGGTTTGTAGGAAGATATGACAAGTAACCTCTGTGGGAAGAGAATGCTTTGTCACGTAGATTTATCAAAGTGTAAACAGGCTGGTCAGCTGCTTGTGTCACATTAGTTTTCAACTCTTTGAAATTTTGAATGATGTCATTCAAGCCAACCAAAGTATAAAAGTTACACATAACACAGAGAATAGTGATCTTGTACAGTTAATAATAGGGGTGGGTATTGCAGAGAATTTTCATATTGCGATGCGAAAGCATGTATTGCCATATATTGCAAGAACTTCTTTTTTAACAAAAAAACTACATATAATCTTGATTTATAAAGCAAAAACACAAAAAATGACTATGCTTGATTAAGCTTTAATAAAAATATAAACAATAGTTGCCACAAATAAAAAAGGAAAGGAAGAATTAAAAAAACGGAAACATCCGAAGATTCCGCAAGTGTTACGAAGTTTTCCGAATGCATGTCAAAATACCGGTTTTCGATCAGCGTATCGCAATATGTATTGTTTTCATGTCTGACCCGGTAAATACCGGTAAACCGGTTATATTGCGCAGCCCAAGTTAATAAACACTAGCTCATGCTTGCTGACTTGGTCGATGCTGGCCAAATGTTAAGATCGATGCTCATGATGTCGATCACTGGATTGTTGCTCAGGCTTGGATATTTACAGACCACTGTCGTAGCTGGAATATTGTGGAGTTAGGCGTTAAACAACAAACAAACAATAACCCTGAGAGATGTTGAGTATGTTTAAGGATTATTGTTGATAATATATATGAGAGAGAAAATTGGTAAAAAATGTAATTATTAATGAAATGCTGTTGGGGTTATTTAATATTAAGCAAGTTCTATTGTTTGATTTCAGGGTCACTTCGAATACCCTGACCCCTCCAAATGGACGGATGAGGAACTAGGAATACCCCCGGAATGATGCTGATGTGTGTAGATAGAACATTACTTATGTATGTGTGTGATACAGAGAAAAACTGACTATAGACAGACCAATGTGCATCTGCATAACCAGCTGCGAGGGGACAGCCTTTCTGAACTTTGTGGATAATTGTACATTGGATGTTTGGGAAATATTTGTTACAACAAATAAATAAACAAGTTCAACAATTCAAAGGAATTGTTTTTTCATGTTTTGTTGCTTAATCAGCATTGAGCAATAATCCAGCGGTGTGACCAGTTGACCATGATGATGGCACCAGTGTGTGAATTAGATTCAGATTCTTACTCACCAGGGGTGACAGCTTACATCAAATTTTCTAGCTTCAGTTTGAGGTTCACTGAGGTGTACATGACAAGGAACAAATAACCATTAAATATTCACTAGCGTCAGATAAGAGACATTCAGATTCTCTGGGCGGTGCGGTAGCGTAGTAGTTCAGGTGTACCTCTTCATACCGAAGATCCAGGTTCGATTCCGAATATGGGCACAACGTGTGAAGCCCATTTCTGGTGTCCCCCTGCCATGATGTTGCTGGAATATTGCTAAAAGTGGTGTAAAACTAAACTCACTCAGATCCTCCAGCCTGACAGAAAGTGTATTTGCTGGAGGCCAGTGGCTGTTTCACACACGTATGCATACTGTAATAAAAATTAAGTTGGTGATACAGGTCACCAAGCCTCAGCACTCCATCCATTCAGTGAAATTTTACAACAAGCACATGGGTCCAGTTTGATAAGTGGTGTTACAGGCTATAGTTGTTTCACTTGAACATCAGCATAATCAGGCTACAGCTCCATCACCCTATGCACCCTAGTCAAAGTATATTGTTTTCACAAAGTCTGCAAAGTGTCAAAAATAAAGTTCTCTTATTCAAATATATGAAAAAATACTCCAAGAACACTCGATTGGTGGTGGTAATTTTTTTTAGTGATATGAATTCCAAATGCCTGTTAATAATTGATTGAGAACTGAATAAATCAGTGGTGGACAGTCAGGTCATGGTATCATTTCTCAAACTACCACAATGAAACAGCTAAAAAAAAATGGCTGCCAAGTACACTACCTCTGAAAGGAACTCGTTGATTGGTTTAATTTGCTGTTTAACACCGCACTCAACAATACTCCAGCTATATGGCAGCGGTCTGTAAATAATCCAGTCTGGACCAGTGATCAACAGCATGAGCATTGATCTACATAGGTGGGATACGATGCCATGTGTCAACAAGGTCAGCGAGCCTGACAACCCGATCCCGTAAGTCGCCTCTTATTTTTTGTCAATAATATACTGAAAGCCATTAAAAACGCAATTGGTATTTGTTGTCCTGGAACTTACAAAAATTCTATTGAAGATTTTTTTTCCTGCAATTCACAGGATGTAGAGATAAAAGGCTGTTATTCTGGCCAATTTCGAGTTCAAGTCCCCGAGCATTCCTCTCACATGAACTTCGATGCTAAAAATTGAACCTTTGACATTTCTTGTAAACACAAGCACATTCATGAGATATGTGCACGTGCATTACCTGCACCCAGTCCCTTTAAAAGCACAAGGAATTGCGAAACTCAATCACTTTGAAAAAATGCCACGCTTGACACTTGGTTGTAAGACGAAAAGGAATTAGATTATCGGTATGGTCAGCCAAGGTGCTTCAGATGTGATGATTGCCAGGCACTTTAAATAATGTGCATCCATCCACTGTTAGTCAACTCAGACAATGTTTTCGGGCTACCGGAAGTGTTGCTGATCATCCATGACCTGGTGCACCACCTGTGACGACAGCTCGACAGGACCGCAATATCCGAGTTTCACACATGCAAAATCGGTTCCAAACAGCTGCTGATACAGCAAGGAGGACAATTGGGACAAGACAACGTCATGTCAACACCCAAACGGTGCGAGGACGCCTTGCTGCCTTCAACATCCGGTGTCGTCGTCGCCCGTACCCTGGTCCAACTTTATTGTATTGCCACAGAGTTGCCAGACAGCGATGGGCAGCTAATGGGGCCAATCTTGGCAACAGTTTGTGGCGAGATGTCATTTTTAAGATGAATCCAGGTTTAACGTATCCTTTGCAGATGGATGTCAACGGATTTATCGACGTCGAGGAGAAAGACTTGCGCCAAACTGTGTCCTTGAACATGATCGTTTTGGAGGGGGTGGTGTCATGATCTGGTGTGCTGTCAATGCCTGCTTCCGATCCCAGATGGTAGTGGTTAACGGCAATCTGAATGCTCAACGTTATGCGGACAATATCCTTTCTTCCGGCTGTACTCACAATGATGGATCAACATGGCGGTTGTAACCATTTTTTGTTTCAGCATACAGCCAGGGTAACAAGGGACTTTTTGAATAATGAGAATGTTTGTGTGATGGACTGGCCTTCATTGTCCCCAGAACATGACATGAACCCAATTGAGCATCTGTAGGATGAACTTGGACGGCAAGCTCGAAATCAACTTGTGCCAGCAAGGACAGTTGCTGAATTGACACAGGCCCTTTAACAGCTGTTGCTGATAATGTCTTTCAATGCCCCGGAGACTGCAAGCATGTCTTGCAGTGCATGGTTGACACACACGATATTGACTGCAAGTGACCCCTCCTTTGTTTGATGTCATTGTTGCGTCACTGATGTTGTTGTTGATTGGACATTTTCAGCTGAAATCATCCACAGATGTTCATATCTGCCAGTTACATTTATATATGTTGACATTTGTGTGAGTAAAGAAAGTATGAATGTCAAATTGCGTTTTAAATGGCTTTCAGTATATATGATATGTTGGAGACATAAAACACGCGAGTTTAATAAAATCTTTATCGTATGATGTCATCTTGAAATAATCGATGTTTAATCCATAATTTCGCTCTATGAAGAAGATTTACTGTCACTGCAGGGAATACAGAAACAGCGAAACTTTGGGCGAAACCACTTCATCATATATGTAACGTTAGTCTATAGTTCATTGAGAAAAATAAAAGAAATAGAGCGTCAATGCATTGAGCTTGAAAGTAGTTCCTACTAGGTGACCTCATTTGCATATTTATGAGATACTGATTTATCTGATTGGTTTATTGCCTTATAAGGTTGCCTTTATTATATGTGAGTTAATAACCACATTTACACCATTGGAGAAATATATGGAGAAACTCTGACCTGAGTTTTTTTATGAATTGTATCAACACAGACTGGATGAAATCCGAATGTTTTAAGGCTGGTCGAGGTGACAGAATATTTATCAGCGAGTGTTGACATGTTTGATTTAAAATAGAGACGATGGTGAGAATTATTTTTATCCTCCAACATTGTACATTTAAGCTTGAATTCAGGAGCACTATCACTGGCATGATTTGAAAAACAAGTTAAATTGACGAGATAAGTGATGTCATTTAATTATGACGTCATGGTAACAATGACGCCAAAATGATCTGATAGCACTGTGATGCAAGTTCATTGGACCATGTTTTGCTGATGTCACGAAAAGGGACGTCTTCAGTTAAATCACTTTTGGGTGATAAATTCTGTTATTCCAAGTCAATCATATGTACTCAGGGTAGAAGATAGATTCAGAAAAATTAAATGGGGTGTCTCCTCTGCAAATTAGTAACGTTATTTACAATGGATGCGTATATTATCGCGTCAGGTTGATGCAAAATTTAGCAATCTTACAAAATAAATTTTGCTTGGGACAGTCTAGTTTCGTAATGATAAGCATTATCGAAAGCCCAAATCAAAACTACAGTTTTGTTTTTCAGTTTATTACTTTTTTTGGCTTGGCGTTCTCACGTGGGTATTTACCTGCCGCTTCTTCGATCTGTGTAAGTCCATGATTAGAGTTACGTCCCTTACCTCATATCACACGGAAGTGGAATATGTTCAAGACTCCATTTCAATGAAAATGGCGAATACATCTCATATCCAATTCGAAGGTTGGAGTCCTGACCAAGTAGCTGCCTGGCTCAGAGGTACAAACATGTTCTCACTAGACAATTCTGTCAGTAGCTTCAGCTGCCTGAGTGCTGCACACACCTGGGACAGACATGATTAAAATGTCGTTTGTCGCACCGATGCCATTCTCAACTGTTACCATATTATCAATACCAGTGATTATCGATGTCGCGATAATGAGAGTTTAGGATTTGAGAACTGCTATGAAATTGAACATGTAGTAAGGTATTGCATATTCATGCAGGAAGATTGGATAAAATGTTCAAGTGCAGGTTTTACTGGAAGCAAAATAATGCATCCTATGCATATCAAATTTGAAAGTAGACGTACACTATTAACCGTGCAGGTAAGAGCATATTGTTGGATGTTGGAATATCTGATGTAGACAAGGCAGATCTGATATTTCATTTCTGATACGAACGTTTAGGTACTCAATACTCACAGTATTGCATTTTATTATCCTTAAGAAGATGTATAAAGCAGTGTATTACCCTGTCAGTGTCACAGAAGTATGTAAAGTCTTATGGCAGCTCATGGCTAATCTACTAATAGTCTTAACAGAGACCATATCTATTATATGGTCTCTGGTCTTAACAAGAATTTGATTGGTTTGAATTCTTATCAGCTGATAAGCCAAGTATTTGATAGCCTGTTTAAATTATGGACTGGGTGTTAGAAAAAAATGTCTCATCAAACGTTATGGAACACCAGATCCTTTCACAGGGCTACAGATCAGGGGCGTACACGCCTAATGTACGCCTCAAAATCAATTAAGTACGACATAATATAAGATTTCAAGCGTATCGTGTACGCACATAAATACCTTTGTACGTCTAACATTTAATTTCCGTGCGTATCGCGCAAATGGAAATCTATTTCGGATAAATACTTGTCAAGTTTCTTTTGCGAAACACGATTTGACACATGAGGAAACCCCGACAGTAGGAATCACTTGCGTTGCCATGCAACGCTATGCCTCACTATTTTTCGATTGGCTAAAAACTACATTGTTCCTATTTATATCCAGTCTGACCTGACATTTCGCGCATCACATGGTCGTTCAGTTATTTCTCACGCGTCTTCAAATACAAACACATGGTTGGAAATAGTGATCGATGAATCGTCCAGACAAACCACATCACCAACTCGCTCACACAAAAAACATGTCAGTACTCCTTCAAAATTCTAAGTACACCTCCACTTGCAATATGATGTGTAAGTACACTCGCACCCCCAAAAGTTATCTGGAGCCCTGTTTCATATCAGTCTAGTTAATCTGTCATGTCATAATATATTGTTGTAATGTGAAAAATATCGAGTGTTCTTTAACATGTCTTGGGTGCTATTTATCACACAAGTGTCACTGATAAGTGAAGGTAATATGCAATTGACATGCAGTCAGTAACAAAACAGATTCTATTTGAATTTATCCAGGATTTTAAACTAAGTAGCCTTGTCAGGCAATCTGAAACAATGTTGATATTTTGCTGAAATTACCAATGGAATACAGGTCATCTGTTAACATGATTTAGGAAATTTGTCATTCTATTTTGAGATTTTATACTAACATTTGTAGCACATTTGGCCCCAATTATTGGGTTTTGTGTTTATCAGACATGATATGTATGTGATATTTTGACTGGTTTGCTTGGAACTGATGCAATGCGACCATGGACTAAACAAAAACATAGATATCAGGGTTGTTGCAGGGCAAAATGTCAGCATACTTCAGGGGTGGAAATAACCCATTGCACGACGTCTGAATCCAGTGTTTTTTCTGTCGGGCAAGCAAGTTTGTATATCACACTGTACCGGTGTCCAGTTGACTTTCCAATGTTAATTATGTTGTTTATTTAAAAAATCAGCAGGAAAACGGTCGGTATAGTGGAAAAATTATCAGGGCAAGTGGCATTACATGTGCCACTGTACCGGAGTACACTATCAATTTTAAAGTTATTTCCACCCCTGTACTTAGATCAAAATAATGATGTGATGAACAGTATTGAAAGAATAACAAACATGGGGACTACTCACTCTGTTGTACAAAAACATAACTGAAGAATGTGACCATGGTTCATTCAGTTCAGTTTATGAGGTGATATTCATGGCAAAAATAAGAAGTCCCCATAATCATTGATTGTTGTAACTTTATCTGAAAAAGAGTTTACTTAGTGAATCCTCGCTGGATGTGCGTTATCATACTCATTCTGTCAACCACTGGTTTGTCCTGCCCAGGCAGATTAATATTCAAAATAATGCTGATCATGGCACTGTATTTTGTTCTTATTCCAACCTTGCATGATGGTTTGGCCAAAATTGTGAACATTTCAGGAATTTATCCTCACCTACCCTGAGGTTGATGTTTGACCCTAAACCTGCAGAAAATTGCAGTAAATATTAGAGCTAAAAGGTCTCCAAACTGACAAAAATATGACCACTTTAAAAAATCCAATTTTGAACATATTATGACTTCCCCCAATTTTTTCTGCAAAGGCACTCTTTTTCAGAAATCTCTTTATGTTTTACCATTTGATCTTTTAGTATCTTCTTTTTTAGCCTGACCATGGTTACTGAATAAACTGCATAGTATTTGAGAGATCAATTTTGTTCATTGGCGCTGTTCTTGTAGTTGTGTTCTGAAGTGGTCAGTTATTGTGTATTTCATGTATTCCAGGTCTGGACGAGGCAGTTGGTCAGTATGTCCAGCATTTTCACAACAACGGCATTGATGGCAAGAAACTCTTGATGATCACCCACTCAGACCTCGAAAAACTCAGTGTCTCAAAACTAGGTCACCAGGAGCTGATATTGGAAGCTGTAGACCTTCTGAGAGCAATGGTTAGTACATGTATATTTCAGTTTCTATTCTGCATGTGTAATCTGTGTGCGAAATATGCTTTATGTTGAAAAGTGCATGTTAAATTTCCAAATCATCATCATCAGCAGCATGTGTAACACCATGCACTGTAGTATAGTCCTAGGCCAAATGTTAGAAAAGTCCCTATCTTTCAGGATCTCTCAGCAGCAGTAAAAGCGTTATCCAGTAATTGGTATGACAACTCCCACCCTCCAGAGATTCTTGTCAATGTGGAACTAGACACAGAATGTATCAGGTTGCTGAAAACAAACAAGGTTTACCCCTCTGTTGAAACAGTGTCCACATGTTCATAGACCAACTGCATGAGTATTAACCACATGGTTTAATGGAGGGTGACAAGCACTGGTGTTCAACATGATCAGGATATGCAGTATGGGTGATATTACCTGATAATGATGTTATCTCTACATTTGGCCTAGGAGTAAGTAGGGAGGCATATCAATATAGGTCACAGAGATTGATAATCGTTAACTAAATAACGGTGTGGTGGAGGAGCCCAGTGTTTAAAGCGTTCGCTCATCACACCAAAGACCCAGGTTCTATTCCCTACATGGGTACGATGTGTGAAGCCCATTTCTGGTGTCCCCTACCGTGATATTGCTGGAATATTGCTAAAGGCTGTGTAAACGTCACTGACTCACTCTACGCGGAATGTCGCGGGTTCGATCCCCGACCACGTCATACCAAAAGACGTTAATATGGTACTTGTTGGTCCCTGCCTGGCACTCGGCATTAATGGGTACAACAAGGACTGGTCGGCTCGGAGTCAGTATAATGTGTCTGAGTGGGGTATTCATGCTTCACTGCGGCATGGTATCTCAGTGGGCTAGCACTATTAAACCAGCTTCAGTCTGGGCTAGTACAAGCAGCTGCACTTTCATATACACACACATGCACGTCGTCATATGAGCGAAATATTCTCCAGCACGACGTTAAACCCCATTTCACTTCACCTCTTGTATTCACGACTACGAAATGACGGTGACTGACTACATTAACTTTAGTGTGTAGGATCTGTAATAACAATCCGTGTCAGTCAGACAATCAACAATAAGACCCCAATATACAAATAACACAGACCTGTATTCGAGTATTCTGCTTTTAATCTTTTTTGTCAATACGGTGGTCTTTGACATGTCTGATGACATTGTGAGGGTTAGTAACAAATACATCCCCAGCTATGAATGTAGCATCCCATAGATGACGTCCTGACCTTGTCAGTTTGCTGACGAGGTTAACCTCTTTTCGTCATGTGGACAAGGCTTTCAACTTCGGATCAGAAGTTCTGTGGTTCGATTCCCAGCACGGGACAGGACAATTTTATTTTATGCTGCCCAATGTGGAGTTGACCACGTTCATATGAAATTTGAGCAAAAGTCTCAGTACCCTCCTATGTGGTTCGGGATGTGCCTTCTGTTCACGGGGGAATATGTAGCAGGGCGTGGAGTCATCCCATAGACGACATCCTTGCCTTGTCAGCTTGGGGTTAACCTCTTTGGTTATGTGGACAAGGCGTGTGACTTCGGATCAGAAGTTCCGTAGTTTGATTCCCAGCACGGGATACGGAAATTTTATGGCCGCTACATGAATTTACTGGAACATTGCTATAGGTGCTACAGGGCTCCAGATAATTTTTCAACATCAGGAGTACGTACTCCTTATTTTTTCAATATAGAAGTACTGGAAAAACTTAAGAGTACATTTAGAGTACTGAATGGAAATTAGTAATCAGTATTCTTGTGTTTCGTTTGGTATATGCACCACAACATTGCTACTCTTGTGTAAACAGGTCAATAAACAATAAAACAATACTTTTTCATATAAATATGTCTGTAAATGATTCGTAAACCATTGCTGTGGTGCATATCTGCTACGTTTTCAAAATTATTTCCTACCGTATCGTGCATATTTTTTATCCATACATACGTCGATACGGCCCTTATCTGGAGCCCTGGTCCTATATCCCACCCACTCATGCCTCCTGCGTGTCTCCACAGCGTTACGGCCACGACACCGAGAACCTGCAGCACTTGGCCCTCCAGCTGGGATGCAAGGCTCGCAGCCTCCACAACATGGTCCAGGCCATCACTGGGGAGAACGACAAGAACCGTGCCAACGTCTCGCATCACGACCGCCGCAAACAGCTCACCGTCGAGGTCCTGTCTGCTATGGCCGACCTCCTGTCAACGCTCAAGTGTCTAGTGTCATGGCTCGACAGGTAGGCTTGTTTTGTATTTAGATTCTTCTTTGAGCGGCATTTTAGAAGTTGGGAAGTACAATATAGAACAAACTTTATGGATAACAACTTCTTTTATTCGTAAGTGAAACATTTCGATACAGATTCTTGTACCATTGTCAAGCATGTTGTCGCACTCACCAATAAAACAAGCTGTTATCCATAAAGTTTGTTCTATATTGTATTTAGATGGTAAACGTTCTGCGTTTTGACATATGAGGTTGTCCTACTGTAGAATCTGTACCTGTTTTTGATTTGGAGTGAGCTCTTGACTGTCTTTAGAAATTCATTTCAGTCAGAATCAAGATTCTTAATAATTTCTTCAGTGTCATGGTAGAATAAGTAATTAGTGCTGTGTATATCAACAATATATGATTGATATCCCACTTTCAAGTGAAATAAAACTATACTGCAACTATAGTCCGCTTGGCTCAAAAGCCGACCGATGAATTGCAATCTAACTCGAAAACTAATAAACATAACATACTCAATGAAACGCTGATCATAATCAAAACATCATACCCACTCTGTGAGGTTTTTGCAGAATTTTTGTCCTAAAAATAAAAAGTTGTTTAACAAACTATCATTAAAATATTGACACAGTTCACTGTTTGTTACGAGGGAGGAGTGCAGAGAAAGGGACAGCCAGGTGTTCAAGAAGCACGCTCACAGACAAAGTTATTGATTCATTAACCAGTGCTGTGCCATCTCCATCCGCTCTTTAACACCTGGCTGTCCCTTTCTCTGCACTCCTCCCTCCTACTTATTTTGCTCTGGTTCAGTTTTTTATGCTTAACCTCAGTAGGCATTCCCTTTCTATTCTCAATTCAATTCCATCCCCTTAATCACTATTCCACCTTCTTGGGGGCTCTCGTTGTATAACCTCGCTTTTGGGTATTCAGCCATTCCTCCTAGGAATCGGGCTATGCCCCCAAGGCAGCTCTTCACCAACATGTCCGGGCTTAACAGCCAGGACACCTCCCGCGCTTACATTTTCACGGGTTATCACCCATTAATAGCTTCGAGATGAGCCAGCCCCCAATGTATATCTTCATATATATGTGCAAAAAACTCAACAAATTTAAACTTTTACTCGTGTCATGTTTTCTGTTGTTGCACAAATGAAAGACTGTTTTCAAAATGACATCAGATTGAAACAGTTTAGTTTTGATTTCAGAGCCCCGTTTGAAGGTATCCATGACATGTGTTTGTTGAGGAACTCCATCGTGAAGTTTGGGATGGAGCTCGTCCATGCTGCACAGCGAGACTCCAACCTGACAGAGACGGAGGAGTCCATTATGAGATCGGTGAGTACATCGTATATCACTCATCAGTACATCAAGGCTGACATCAGGTCAGTGAGAACATCATGGCAGACGTCTGATCTGTGAGTGGATCATGGCAGACTTGATTATTACATCTGTGAATCTATACCTTGGTCGATATTGGACCTGTGAGTATATTGTGGCAAACTGATTATCATTATTATTATTTTAACATGTATATTTCCATTGACCAGTGTCGGACGTTGTTTGAGATCTGCGATGACCTGGTGATGAACTCCAAGGAGCCGCTGGTGGTGCAGCCTGCATCACTAGAGGTCGCCACCATCAGGAAGAAACAGCCGGAGGAGCTGGTGAGTGTCTGGCAGTGAGGGGCTGCATTGTACAGGAGTCCTGTACTATAGTTCCTACTGTCGTATCTAACACTATTAACATTGTCAATACCTTTTTGAACTGATTACAGAATTAAAACATGATGAGACACACTACTTTTGCAATTTTTCATTCTTGTTATTTAATTTTCAAAATATATGTAGAGTTAGGGTTCTTATTTACATGGAACTTTTGTATTCTTGCAGGGTCTGCATATTTCCTCCTCATATTATGGAATTCATGCTATAAGCGGAATAAAGGAATTGGTAAGATTTATCATGTTTATGTTGCCTTTGAAATGTTGTCAATAGCCAAACTGACAATTGTTTGTCAGGACGTGATAAAGATGCTTGGAGATTGACCAGGTCTGAGTAGTGATTGGAGAAATTTAATGGGAAAAGACATAGCTGACAGTTGAAATTAATGATAATTATAAATGTTGTGTTATCAATGTCAGCTATTTTCTTGCTTGTCCTAAGTAATAACCATCATTTTAGACATTTATATGAAAATAACATAAGTCTGCTACTCTGAGACTAGTAAAGTTCAGAAAGTACTGGTGATATTTCAGTTTGGTATACCACTGGTCATTTACAAAGGAGTATGTTGGTGAACTTGTTAAAATGGAAACTGACAAAACCCAATTTGATACTGCTGGGTGTTGCTCAAGGAACATATGATGATTATGTACATGTTCGTCTTACAACTGGGGTAACCTAGTGGATAAAGCGTTCACTCGTCATGCGGATACCCGGGTTCGATTCCCCACATGGGTACAATATGTGAAGCTCATTTGTGGTGTCCCCCCACTGTGATATTACTGGAATATTGCTAAAAGCAGCGTAAAACTAAACTCACTCACTCACTAGTCTTGCAATTTGTCAGGCGGGTTTAATAGAGCCGGAAGAGGGTTACTGTGTGATAATGTTGTGGAGAAATGTTGTGTTGTAAGTGTTGTCGTTTTGTAGAGTCCAGCTGACCTGTGCAGGAAGATTGAGAAGGGCGATGAGGTCATCCAGGTCAACTACCAAACAGTGGTGAGTAGACAGTGACCCATTGGGGAGTCTGGGTTACGTGCTGCTTGTAAGGGTTTTTAGTACGATGAGAGCCAATAGCACAGACATCTGAGACACTGCAATTTGCTGGGTAGAGTTATTTCCCTTGGGCAGAGTTATTTCCCTTCTGAAGAGCAATGAGATCATACAGACAGTGACCCAATGAGGAGTCTGTGTTTCAATAGGTACTCAGCAACCTGAGCTGCTTGTAAGGGTTCTTCAGATATTGAGGACTGTCAGGGCACAGTCATCTGAGGCACTGCAATTTGTTGTGTAGAGTTGTGTCCCTTGGTCAGAGTTGTTTCCCTTCTAAAGGGCAAGGCAGTCATCCAGGTCAACTACCAAACAGTGGTGTGGAGACAGTGACCCATTGGGTAACCTGGGTTTGCATAGGTCCCGAACAACCCATGCTGGTTGTAAGGGTTCTTTGTATAGTGGGCACAGATGTCTGAAACACTGCAGTGTGCTGTGTAGAGTTGTTTCCCTTGGGAAGAGTTATTTCCCTTCAGAAGGGGAATGTCACACAGGTCATCTACCAAACAGTGCTGATCGTAAAGTGATTTGATGAAGAGTGTGAGTTAGAATAGGTCCTGAGCCATCTGTGATAGCTGAAAGTTTTTTATTTATATATATAGACCTTTCAATTGATAAGATGATATGGCAGGAGATAGATGAGAATGACCTTGTAAAGGTATTCCTCCTCGGTAAACAGACTAAACAAGACAGATGTGTGGATGACAAAGAGCGTGACGTGGATGGCTACCTACAGGACCAAATGCGATATTAGCCAATTGCGGCCCTCGGTAAAGCATGGAAACTTTGGTACTTCCTCCCACGGAGCCAGCAGTCAGGAATGTTTAGGGCTGCCGCCGTAAAGCATATGCCAAGTATATACCTAGTTGTGGCAGCGCTTGCTGGTTAGTCCCGGCTGCACCATGCCCACCGCGACCTATTTTATTAAGAAAAATGGACTTCTGGATACACCTTGTTTATGTTCTGTACAATGATGGCTTAACATAAGTAAAAATTACCAACCTCAGCCTTCCCCGGATGCTGCCAGCCGACATGCCCAAATTGCGAGGTGGACCCTCATTCCAGGTAGTGGGAGATGCCCGGGTTAAATGATACCACCCAATCGCCCTAACTGCCCCTGTACCACGTTCCTCAGCCGCCGATTGATCTTTCGCTTCAGATCGAGGGCCTGACGCCGTTGGTCGTCGGCTCCGCCAGCCGTGCAAGCAGCATCGGGCGATCAGGATAATCGCGGGCAGCTGGGCAGCGCGAGGCGCATGTAGAGGAGATCCTCGCACATCATGTCATATAGCGCCTTTGAGGGGACTCACACAGGTCATTCGCATCCGAGGTGGATCACAATGAATGACCTGCATGGGCCCTCTCGCTTAAGTAGACTCTCAATCCTGCCTCTGAGGTCGGGCCTACTTGAGGCCCCCTTCGACGCACTCAGATCACATCCCCGGCGAGGCCAAGGCTGCTCCATTGCGCCCAAGATGTTTCGGCCTCACCATGTAAAGCTGGAGCCAATCACCCAAGCCGCCCTGCACCCCATAAATGCTTACGCTTGTGCGCCAGGCTGATGAATGCGGATATACGACTGGTATCGCTTAGATCTCCAGTGGCCAACTTCCTGCATTTACTCTGATGGGATGCCTTGTAACGCTGCCGTGGTTGCTGCCCTATGCGAAAATGAATGGAAGAATACATTTTAACATTAATGGGTCTTTGTCAGCACTGCCTGAAACTGAAATCTTGTTAAAGGAGTGAAGTTTGTATGTACAAATAAATACCCGTCTGACCGCGGGTCGCGACTGATAAAACCGTATGCGGAGGGCTTTGCCAGGCTAGGCATAGCATAGACTCGAACTGCCTGGATGGCAATGCGTGTGCCCTGGCCCTGTTGGTCTGTTTTGGCTGCCCGTGAGTACCAACCTCCAGGTAGGATTGGTCGCTAGCCACGGATAAATCCGCTTAGCAACACTCGCGCTTGGCTGTGATGAGTCATTACCTGAATCTGCCACTACCTCGCTTTACCCTGGAAAACCCAAAAATGTCAGTAGATATGCTGCCGAACAGCGTGGCTTCATATGTAGACTTACAAACCGTGGGAAGGAGTTGCACAATGCTCGTAATAAGATCCACCGTAATAGGCTGTCTCCTGTCCAGATGACCGACGACGTCCTGACATCCCCTGCAATGGCTTTCTGCACTAGAAAAGGATTAGACATGCACTGCAAGGAGTTGAGCTTTATGGATGGAGGACAAGGCTGAAATGTAGGAGCCGGGCGTTGCTCGGAGACCTACCTGATAACGCAGAGATAGGCTATAAAATGTAGCATATGAACTAAAGGGACTGGCCATAGGTCAGGCAGGGGAGTACAATCACCAAATCCCTCGCGAGTGACTGAACTGCTGACTCATATGTCCTCCAGGTGTTTGCTGCCATTGAGTTGGCTACCAGACTGCTTACTTCTGCCATTAGATGAGCCAGATGTCCGCTGGGATTGCAGAGGCCTGTTGATCCGCCTGAGGGGCTGCAGCTCCAAAACCGTGACCTCCTGAAATCCTCGAAGAGCCGTCTGCTATTATGTTATTCTGTGAGGGTATATAACGTGCCTTGAAGTGGGATGTTGTTTTGTAAGCATATCAGGACCATACGCCTGAGCAGTTTCATTACCCTTTTTGCTGTGTGCCTATTGATGATACTCACCACGCCTGGTTGTCGGAGAACATTAGCACTCTTTTGTTCACCAAACTGCTGCCCCAGATCCGCAATGCCATGACTATAGGAAAAGCTCCAAGAAAGTCAAGTCTTTCACCCATCCTTGTTGTAGCCATAGGTCTGGCCACTTGGCGATGCATGGGGTAGCCTAGTGGTTAAAGCGTTAAAGCTCGTCCACGGCAAAGACCCGGGTTCGATTCCCCACATGGGTATAATGTGTGCAGCCCATTTCTGGTGTCCCCCACCATTGATATTGCTGGTATATTGCTAAAAGCTAAAAAACCATACTCACTCACTCACTCTGGCCACTTGGCATTAGCCCAATGGCGGAAGTATGCACCACAACCCTGGCTTCCTGCTGCTTCTGTATAAAGCTGTAGAAGTGGGGTAGCAACCCATCCTTGCTCCAAGAATAAAGTTGTGCCATTATGCTTGGCAAGGAACTGAAACCATAGTTTGAGGTCCTGTCATGCCCGCTGATACGCATTATTCTGTGATGCTTTGGTTTGCTTGCCCCATTTTGAGCATATATAAGACGCGCTTAAGAATGGGCTGACCCATGGGAATTGCCCTGCATACAACATTCAGCTTACCTACTATAGATTTGCAGGGGTATGCAGTGTGACCTTGGATAAGGCCGCTACTAGCTGTGCTAGTTGATGAACCAGTTGCTCTAACTTGTCATGTGGGCAACCTGATTTCCCCCCTCTCCGTGTCTATGGTGAGACCAAGAAATGTAAGACAAGTTGTGGGTTGTACTGTTTTGGTGTATGCGATTGGCATGCCTAGGCGATTGGGGAATTGAAGGGAAGTCTTGAGCATGTCGCGAGCAGATGTTTAAACGCCCGCAGCCAGAATAAAATCATCCAGATAATGAGCTACTGCAATCAGAGTTATTTTTCGCATGGGATTAATTTTCCAGCGATTTTGAGCGCACAAAATGATTGTCGTCAATAATCATACCAAGAGAAATATTCATGGTCAAGTCATGACAAATACTCAAAGTAGGAACAACATGCAATTTGTTTATTCTCTCAGATAACAACATCAAAACAATATACAAAGGAATAGAGGCATACACTAGTATACTAGTAATAGCGATCACAATCAGCAAAATGTTTGTTATCAGTTTGTCAGTTAATTGATAGCTGATTACTCGTGAATCACAAAATGAACAGAAGCTCACTTACATCAGTCACAAATCACAATGTTTGACACAAGTATAATCCCACATCTCTCTGATTGTTTTAGTAAAACACGATTCAATTATATGGCATTAGCTTCGATCATTGCATGTCTATGGGTTGTGAAAACTTTGTGATGGACACCATCACTCAAGCTTGAAATGAAATGCGAAAAACTACTGCGCTTAATAGGTCTTTTGTGAACTTTCTGCGAAAATTGCACCCCATGAAAATATATCGATTACAGTATATATATCCTGCTGCCGCGTGTGGCCTTGATGGCCCATTTGATGAAAGTGCTAAATGACTTGAATAGAGCACAAGAGATGGAACAGCCGAAGGGGAGACATTTATCAATGAAAATTTTTCCCTGAAACTTCATGCCGAAAGCAGCTGGAAGTCCGGACGGTGCCACCGGCTGGAGACGAAAAGGCTGATTTGATATCAAATTTGGACATTATGCACCACTGTCAAGGTTTTGAATCATAGCTACCGCCTGATCAAAACTGGTGTACTGCACTGTGCATGCTTCATGCGGTATAGAGTCATTCACCGATGATCCTACAGGATATGATAAGTGATGGATGAGGCGGGAAGCAGCCTCACCCTGGACAGATGAATCGATTTCTTAGGCACCAAGCCGATTGGGGAAACTATAAGGGAGTCCACTGATCTGTGTGAATAGACCGCCTCCGTGGTGTAGTGGTTAGAGCGTCCGCCTCGAATGCGGAAGGTTCGCGGGATTCGATCCCGATCGCTGGCGTCATACCAAAGAGCGTTAAAATATGGTACTTGTTGGTCCCTGCCTGGCATTTTCGGCATTAATGGGTACAACAAGAACTGGTCGGCTTCGAGTCAGTATAATATGTCTGAGTGGGAATTATTCATGCTTTACTCACTGGCATGGTATCTCAGTGGGCTAGCACTATAAAACCAGCAAGTCTGGGCTAGTACAAGCAGCCGCACACATACACATACTACACGCATGCATGTTGTCATATGAGCCGAAATATTCTCAAAGTACAAGCGTAAAACCTAATTTCACCTCACATCACCTGTGTGAGAATGGGCCAGCTATGCGACCCAACTGAATTTCTTTCTGTAGTTTTGCTCCACCAGTAGTGGCTGCTCAATCGCAGATTTAAGGCTGACCGCATCCCGAGCAACCCGTGGCCCTGAATATCTTAAACTAAAGCCTTGACTAAAACCCCGCTCCATTAACTGAGCTGCTAATGGGTTGATTGAATGATAATGCTCCAGCCATTGTTGCAAGTAGATAACATTAACTGGAGATGGGGCCATAAGCATTTCTGGTTGGCAGGGCAGTAGGTCGCATGGGGTTTGTGCGAGGGACTGTGTTGTGCTTTTGGCACAAAAACAGGACGATGCCCCATGGCCACCTATGTTGCATGCCAAGCATTTGTGTGCATAACGACATGCCTGTCCCCGATCGCGCCACGCACGCGATTGAAATTCCTACAAACCTCGGTAGGCATGCTGTGTTGAGGTAGCTGGGATATCCGGCAGAAGGTGTGTGTGTCTGCTGTTTATTGCTGGGAAGCATTAGCTGCAGCCACAGCTGTCCGTCGATTGCACCCCAAGAACGTAATGGATCTCTGTCCATTTTCTGCCAAAACTGTATGTCATATTGAGACCAGCAGTCACCGCCAAAGCCTGGCTTAGTGCTGCACCGCTGGATCGCCTCCATATATGACAACATTTGTTGGATAAATTTTACATCCGTTTGACGCTCAATGACTACACTGATGTAGGTAAAAGGCAGACGCCCAAGACCCAATGTTTAATTGACTGAAAGTGGACTGCTGCCTCCATCAGCTCCATCGAAATTCTGACTCTTCTGTGTTGCTTGGTTTCCGCTGGTAAGAGAGTGTCATGTCAACAAACTCCCCGATGTATTTTTCCCTTACGCCTGTCTTAGGTGGAAACTAATGGTCTCTGCCCTAAAGCTAAGCTGCTGATGTGGCAGCATGTCCGCGATTCACAAGTGTATTGTTTTGTGAGGGGTTGACTGTAACACCCTGTCTGAGGCGTGGAGGGAGTTACTTGAGATTGCTACAGCTCAACGGTGCCTGATTACCACGAGGAATCAATAATCGGACAATATATTAACATGGTCAAGGGTGACATACCTTGTGAGTTGACTGACATAGCCAGCGGGGTGGCGAATGTTGGCTCCAGCGGAGGTGTAGTGGTGGGTAGCGCAGGGATGCCTCAGTTGTCATGGGCCTGAGCAGGCCTGGGGGGCAGTGCTCATGGGAAGAGCACAAAGTCGCGACGCACACTCTTTGCCTGTCGCTTCGCCGCTTTGCATGTCCTTTACTACAGAGTGATTGGCTGCTGCTCTGTGCTTTGGAGGCATGGTGGTGAGTCGCGCATGCTAGCACGTGGTGTAGAGCTACAACTACATCTTGTCAATTAGATGAATGAAAAGAAGACCGGAAAGAAGCGGATGAAAGCTTTAACGCGACTTACTGGTATTTAATAGAGAATTTGGAAGTAAGTTGACAACACAACATGATTAGATAGAATTATTTAGCAGAGGCAATAGGCAAGTGTTAGAGTTTAAAGTTATGCGCTGAATTGTAAATGCTGCCCATAAACCCAATTAGCGAAACAACGCTAAATGTCATTATTAAGGGCTATAGGGGACAAGAATATCTGAGGCTCTGCAGTAGTTGTGTAGTTTAACTTGGGTATGAAAGATATCTTATGATTGTAGACTTGAAACTAGGTCTGTCCCAGTTTGGCTACACTATACACTTGATTGTGGGATTCACTTGCATAACTCTGGGAGGGATGAGTGAGTGAGTGAGTTTAGTTTTACACCGCTTTTAGCAATATTCCAGCTATATCACGGCGGGGAACACCAGAAATGGGCTTCACATATTGTACCCATGTGGGGAATCGAACCCGGGTCTTTGGCGTGACGAACGAACGCTTTAACCACTATGCTACCCCACCGCCCCAACTCTGGGATGAAGTTGACACTCTATGTTATAACTGGAATACTATTCAAACCAGTGTTAATCTTGACTCACTCAGTCTTCAACCTGTATCACCTTTGTGCCTTCTGTGCTCATTTACCAGTGTGAAATTACTGCATGGCAACAAATCAGGCGGAGTGCAGAGACACAGGTCGCAGAGATGATCTTGATTCTTGACTTTTGAGTGTTTCTAGGACTTCAGTCCTGTAGTGGTGGTCCGATTAATTAGATAATCGAAGATTGGTCGCAGTGACGAAACGACCAAGCAATCGATCATGTTTTCTCAGAATCGAACACAAACAATTCTGGAACACTTTTTGCATTAACAATATTTTTCACACGGTTGGTTTTATCAGTTACATTTCATGAGTACTATAAGCTCGTTCCAAGTCATGATTGAATTTATCTGAAACACCCCAAGAAAGTTATGTTCCTAACATACTAGTTATCCGTTCAAGATGTGAAATTTGCCCCCCAAAAACCAAAGAACTACATGTTTTTTCTTTATGTTTTTGTGCAGTAACTAAAAATAACCAGGACAAATTCATAAATGACGCTAACCAATTATTTTCGATGATTGATCGGTTGTAATGAAGCAATCATCAAATATGAGATTTTAACCAATTCCCAACACTACAGTCCTGTCTCACACTAAAATGACACAGTGGTGGCACATAGCCCCTGTACATTGTCGACCAGGCAAAGTTAAGACACAGTGGTCACAGGGTTGAGTGGTAACTGTGTTTAGCAAACTTAACTAGTGAGTGTTTCTATTACTTCAATCCTGTTCACTAAAACACAGGTGTGTTAATAGCAAGGGACTTTTCATATACATGCCTGTGATGACATAGCGGTGAATGGGTTCCCGGTGGGATGGTAAATAGGATGTCTGACTGTTATACTTCTACCGCCTCATGTTTAGTATGGGTTCAATACTCCCCAGGGAGATGAAAAAATAAATTGTAGTGCGGTGTGGATCTGGCATATGAAAAAATACACATTATCATTATGGCTTTAAAAAAAGTTCCTCTCATTCGTGTGTTGCAGCTTGGCTGGCAGCTGAAGAAGCTGGTGGAGACGTTGAAAGAGAAACCAAAGGAGGTTGTGCTGTTGCTGAAGAAGAGGCCTCGTCATATCAGTCCGTTCGGGAATCTGCCCAACCGGAAGAACAAACAGCATGCTCAAGCAGCAACCTTGCCAAAGATACTGAAGAAACGGCGGTCACGTGAAGGTGACGCCAAACAGACTCGGCCATCACTGCAGGAGTTCACCTCCTCTGCACCGTCGGGGGACATCTACGTCACTAAGTGAGTACATGTATTTATTTATTTTTAAATGGTTTGTTTCAGAAATGGCATTCATTGATTTATCTAGAATTTTGAAAAAGTTCTCCTGGGCAAACTTGGAAAAATAGGTTCGTAGGTTCACCTAAATTCTGAGCATATTTGAACATTTCATTCCATGACTGCTATCCATGCAAGAATGTAGAATTGAACATGAAAACCTCTTAATTTCCTGGCCCTTTTTCAGTGAAATTCAAATCATCTTTACTAGGCCATAATATCGATCATAAATTATTGAATTAATCAGTGAAAATAAATAGAAATAGCTATACCTCTGAAAAAACCTGAACTGGGACTACAGTTTGGAACAAGTGCTTTGGTATTGATACTTTTTGCAAGCATATGTCTGAATTTTGGTCTTTTGGTCAAAATTAATCCCTCCTATGGCTGGCTCATGTGAATCAGGTTATGTCCCTTGGTCATAGCAAGATCTGCTGATCATAGGTCCAGATCCCATGCATTGATTGTGTTCCTTTGTTTGTAAAGCTCGGTTTGCTATGACAGAGAAACTGCTATGGATGCCCTTCTGATTTCGCAACTGGGGCGGTGGGGTAGCCTTGTGGTTAAAGCGTTCGCTCGTCATACCGAAGACCCGGGTTCGATTCCCCACATGGGTACAATGTGTGAGGCCCATTTGTGGTGTCCCCAGCCGTGACATTGCTGGAATATTGCTAAAAGCTGCGTAAAATCAAACTCGCTCACTCACTCATAACTGTTCACTGTGGTCTTTGGATTCAACAAACACGTAAATCTCTTAAACATTGAAACTGTAGAAGGAAAGCCGTGAACGTCTGGGTTAGAATGAACCTTCAGTAACCCATGTTTGTCGTAAGAGGCGACTAATGGGATCGGGTGGTCAGTCTCGCTGGCTTGGTTGACTCGTCATCAGTTACTAATTGCGTAGATCGATACTCATGACGTTGATTACTGGATTGTCTGGTCCAGACTCGATTATTTGCAGACCGCTGCCATATAGCTGGAATATTGCTGAGTGTGGCGTAAAAATAAACTCATTCACTCACTCATTGTAGAAGGAAAGCCCACATTGAACAGGCTTGCTGTGAAATACTGAAAGATTGTTGTTGGTTTGTAGTTTAACTCCCCATTCAGTAATAGTCAAGCTATATGGAGGTGGTTTGTTAATAACTGAGTCTGGCCCAGACAATCCAGTGATCAACATTCTTTCAGTATTTTGACCCGTGAAGATCCAGGTTAGAATTGGTCTTCAGCAACCCATGCTTGTCGTAAGAGGTGACTAATGGGATCGGGTAGTCAGACTCGCTGACTTGGTTGACACATGTCATCGTATCCCAACTGTGTAGAACAATGCTCATGATGTTGATCACTGGATTGTCTGGTACAGACACGATTATTTACAGACCGCCGCCATATAGCTGGAATATTGCTGAGTGAGATGTTAAACAACAAACAAAACACATTTAACTCTTCTTTTTTTTATATACTTGATGCAGTACTTTCATGGGAATCAAGAATAACCAGAATCCATGTGCACAAAGTGATCTTAGCACTAGATAGTCGGTCGTAACTTCCATATTATAACATAGACTTAAGTAGTTGTAGAGCTAAGATAGTTTTGTGCATGTGGGCCTGTGTTCAGTGTTTTGTTTGCAGGATGCTCTTACATACATGTGCTACTTATTTATCACTGGTTTGATACGTTTGATGCAGTAGTCACTTGTGGTGTAACGATTCATCGATAGTATCGATGTTTACATCGTCAACTACGCGATACGAGTGCATCGAGGCAATATATAAGGATATTTATATCGCGAGGGTACATGATACATCGATGTATCGCCACAAGAGATGATACATCCCGATACAACTTAAATACTACTTAAAGGAGTATTGCATTAAGAATAGGAAAGGAGTCTCTTTGAAATTCTTCTGAATTTTAAAAACAAATTGAACTTTAAAGGAATTTGTTTGTGTCTGTTATCTTTGTTACATGAACAAAGGAGTTGGTGTATAAGTCACAGAGTGTGAACATTATACAAACTCTGTGAACTGTAGAATACTTGTCTTCAAGTAATTGAAATATGCAGATATGTTTTAGTTGTTTGACAAATAACACCATTTATTAACAACTATGAACGATGTCTTAGCTCTGTTAAGAAAGAGAACAAAGAGAAGATAAAATTTAGAAAGCAGACTTAAGAGTTTTTTTCAGTGATTCTGAATTCTGATATAAATTACATTGAGTTGTTTGTGAAAGCATTGGTGCAGAAACACAACTTCCCGAGGGAAACTTCACTTTCAAATGTATATATAGATCAAGGTAACAAATAAAGTTTCAGTCATTTTATCTACCATATCTGTTTTGTTATTAGAAATTCTAGCACGACATTGTGTGATACTCAATTCTGATTGGCTGAGAGCTCATCAAAACCGTACTTAAATGGCAGTTTAAGACTGCTAATTAAAGTGACTGATTCACCACGTATGAATACAATGAACTCGTTGACCCTATTGTTTGTAAACAAACATGTCGGACATTGGCGATTTCTACCCCAGCAGCATCTTTGATGGTTTTGAAGTAATAAGCGAATGGTTTGAAGAAGAATTCCTTGTCAGTTATCCCTGTGAATTAACTACGAAGCTGGAAAATTCGTCAGCAGCGCAAAAGCAGCAGTATTCAAACCGGGTCTACAACTAGTGGGCATGACGTCGACAAACACACATCGGCCCACGTGTCCTAACCTGACCGCTTCCGTCCCGTCCGTAATGCCCAGTCCTTCCACTTCCACTGTCCATGTATCCCACATAAAACGTGGCATGTCATGTCATGTCATGTCATAGTAGGGTGGATATCAATAATTATTTCCGTGAATAAAGTTAGCAGCTACTAAACTGAGTGAGTTCACGGCATAGATTGGGGCGAGTCGATTGTCATACAGTAGGGGAGATCAATAATTTGCTTGAGAAAAATCAGATAATTGTACTTGCTCACAGTATAAACTGTTATTTTTATTCACGTATGCTACTTGTTACAAATACAAGCATACTGGTTCCATAAATAAAGCATTTATGTTATTTACAATGTCATATTTTGTTCGCTACACAACCTGTTCCTCAATGGGACGATTCCATACGATTTTCAGGAAAAAGGCCCCTTTGCGCCTTGTGTTCTTGCGCGCCAAACAGTTCGGTTTTAAAACGTTTATCAGTCGTGCTAACGCTTTCGGTTTTTAAATTACATTTAGCAGTCTTATATCAACGATAAAGGACCGCAAAACTGAAAACAGAGTAGCTTTGTCTTCTAATTGTAAAGTATCGGGATACGTATCGTATTGCCACTATTGTACCGTGATGATAATCATCTCGCAGGTTCCTTGCCAATACTTTCATGATATATCGTTTCGCCTCATTAAACTGGTATCGGAATATATCGTCTTGCCACTTAGGCCATGATACACAGCTCTAGTAGTCTCACAAGAATCAGGAACTGTTTTCTGATGTGAAGTGGAATATACAAATATGGATCATTATTTGAAAGTAACTTGATTTTCTTTATGTGCTGAGTGTGACTTGACATGATTCACTGTTAGTGATGAGGTTGTGTTTGATTGCTGTGGGCATGTGGATAGTGTGTCCCTGGCAGTGTCGGAGCAGAAGATGTGGTGCTTTAGTATCCCCATTAGTATAACCAGTGTTATAACATGTATCCTCGTTAGTGGTGGTCCGATTAATTGAAATAATCGAAGATTGGTCTCAGTGACTAAACGACCAAGCAATCGATCATGTTTTCTCATAATCGAACACAAACAATTCTGGAACACTTGTTTTCATAAACAATATTTTTCACAAGGTTGGTTTTGTCTGTTACATTTCATAAGCACTACAGCTCGTTTCAAGTCATGATTGAATTTATCTTAAAGACTCCAAGACATTTATGTTCCTGACATACTAGTCTTCCTTTAAAGATGTGAAATTTTGCCAAAAAATCCAAAAGAACTACATGCTTTTTCCATATTTTTATGTGCATTAACAAATTTCATTAATGACGCTAACCAATTTTTTTCGATGATTGATCGGTTGTAATGAACCAATCATCAATTATGAGATTTTAACCAATTCCCAACACTAAACCTCGTTATAACCAATATTTGGGGTAGTGAGGAAGTCTAGTGGCTAAAGCATTTACTCGTCATGCCAAGGACCCGAGTTCGATTCCCCACATGGGTACAATGTGTGAAGCCCATTTGTGGTGTCCCCGCTGTGATATTGCTGGAATATTGCTAAAGGCGGTGTAAAACCAATTCAATCACTCACTATAGCCAGTATTTAACTCCATTTCCTTATAGACAGTGTACCCCTCACCCACTCATTATAACCAGTGTGAAATCTCACCCCCTTTTTGAGATTAGTGTAAAACCTGACCCCCCTCCCACTCATTATAGTGTAAGACCTCACCTCCATTATAGAATTGTAAAACTTCACCCCTCATTATATGAAGAGTAAAGCCTGACATCTTCGTTATTAGCAGTGATAAACCTCACATCCCATTATAACCAGTACACAACCTCACATCATCTTTATAACCAGTACACAACCTCACATCATCTTTATAACCAATATAAAACCTCACATCCTATTATCACCAGTGTAAAACACCACCCCTCATTATAACAAGTGAACAATCACATGTCATCACCACCTCATTATAACATGAGTAAGCCCTCACACATAAACACAACAAGCGGAAATCCCCACTGACCCAACTTTAACATTGTCAGTAAAAAGGATGTACATAGTACAAGCTGAGTGCCGACAAGTGACAGTGTGTACAGCTTGACTTTTATTACTTCACAGCCCAGCAAACTCACGACAAACATGACAAACGCAGAAGTTTTGATGTAAAAGTGGGGAAAGTTAGGCCATGCACGGTACAGGAGCTAGCATTGCTTCCTCAGTAGTATAAACAGCAGAGATGACATGGGCGG